ATTTTAGGCCTATTTAATCGTTTTCAGGACGTTCGCGGTGACGGGGACCCGATTGCGGCATAGTTTCGGAAATGTCTCGACCAGACCTACCGATAGAGCGAATAAAAATTTTCAGTCGGTCGGTCCCCTTTTTTGAAGATTGAGTGGAGTTTGTTGATTTTAGGCCTATTTAATCGTTTTGAGGGTGTTGCCAGTGACGGGAACCCGATTGCGGCACAGTTTCGGAAATGTCTCGACCAGACCTACCGATGGGGCGAATAAAAATTTTCAGTCGGTCGGTCCCCTTTTTTGAAGGTTGAGTGGATTTTGTTGAATTTAGGCCTATTGAATCGTTTTGAGGATGTTGCCGGTGACGAGGACCCGATTGCGGCCCAGTTTCGGAAATGTCTCGACCAGACCTACCGATGGGGCGATAAAAAATTTTTAGTCGGTCGGTCCCCTTTTTTGAAGATTGAGTAGGTTTGCTCTGAAACGGTGAGGAATTTGGTCCCCTTTTTTGAAGATAAAGTAGGTTTGCTCGGAAACGGTGAGGAATTTTCAAATTTCGGGATTTTTCCCAATTTTCCCCTAAAATTTGGAATCGAATGGAAAAAACCGCAAGTCTCTACGACCACTCCTTCACCCCAAACATTTCTATGAGTGAGTGAGTGAGTGAGTGAGTCAGTCGGATTGGGGCTATATAGGTTCTTGATTCTGCTAATCTTTTTTCCCTTAGTCCATGTCTGATCATATATTGTGTTATGTTGCAGTCGGTCTTCTCTCGATTAGGGCCTAGACCAATGAAGCATGCTAGAAAGAATTTCTGCAAACCGTACCCACCTCCCGGTGAGCCACGAAGAGGTCCGCCGCCACCTCCACCTTGCTGCTAGGAGTGCTGCCCGTATGATTCAGTGATTCATTGACTGTGATTTGGGGGGGTAAATTATTATTAATCATTGTTTTTTTAATGTTTATCATGTTTTATTTCTTTTTTTTATTAAATTGGGGTTGTTCTCTATCCTGTGTGACTTCATTCCTATCCTTTGTCACTTTACGAACCTGAGAAGATTTTCTCATCTTAATAACTTTTCACTGAAACCTTCCAGACTCACAGATGTAGTCTTAAATCCAAGTGTGAGTCATGCTTGCATGAATTTAAGTTAGTTACTCAAAACGTTTTGATCAATAACTTGAGATTTTAGCCAAAACAGTATACTGTATAAAACTGAACTTTTTTAAGTTAATTCAATATTGAACTGACTCCATTACAATGGGAGAAGCTTTGCTTTAGTTCAGAGCTGCTCTCTGAGAAGTTTCATGAAGAAATATCAACAACTTCTTTCATTTTAGTGTTGCTACCTACTTAACAAATTTTCCGTCTGGAAAGTTACCGAAGTTGCTTCAGCTTTACTTGGAGGACAAAATGAGATCTTTCTTTCCATCTAATAGCTTCTAATCCATGCTAGGGTGCTTTTGATATGATTTTAAGCAAAATAAATTCTGAATTTTCATTAAAATCTTCTGTTTTAAGTTCTAATACTGTACCAGCTAATTTCCAACTTTTCCAAGTTAATTCATAAGCGTGCTGACTGAATTTCTATTAGAGAGGCTTTGTATCAATGTTAACTTAGTGTTAAATAATAATCTTTGATGGGAAATAACAAGAACTTGTTTGGTTTAAGTCAGTCAATTCACAGTGTGGTTACTGATGGTGAGTCGTTTTTCTCATCTTAATAACTTTTCACTGAAACCTTCCAGACTCACAGATGTAGTCTTAAATCCAAGTGTGAGTCATGCTTGCATGAATTTAAGTTAGTTACTCAAAACGTTTTGATCAATAACTTGAGATTTTAGCCAAAACAGTATACTGTATAAAACTGAACTTTTTTAAGTTAATTCAATATTGAACTGACTCCATTACAATGGGAGAAGCTTTGCTTTAGTTCAGAGCTGCTCTCTGAGAAGTTTCATGAAGAAATATCAACAACTTCTTTCATTTTAGTGTTGCTACCTATTTAACTAATTTTCCGTCAGGAAAGTTACCGAAGTTGCTTCAGCTTTACTTGGAGGTCAAAATGAGATCTCCCTTTCCATCTAATGGCTTCTAGTCCATGCTAGGGTGCTTCTGATATGATTTCTGACAAAACTGAAATTGAATTTTCATTAAAATCTTCTGTTTTAAGTTCTAACATAGTACCATCCCTAGTTCGACTGAGTGGCCGAGTCCATGGAAGTTAATCACAGTGAAAAAAACAAAACCTCTCTCATTGACAACTCTTATTTTGAGTTAAGAATAAATAAAGGAATAAAGTTAGAGGAGAACTAGTACTAGAAGATAATTAATGACATTCAGTAAAAGATGTTTATCAACATGATTCAAGGGTTATGTTGCCCATATTATGAAACTGAGTTTTCAGTCAAGTATTATGGTGAGTCTAATCTCATTTTTTAAATTAAAATGACTCTCTTTTGCTTCTCTCACTAAGGAATTATCCAGTGATACGTTTTGAATCCCAAAAGGTGAAGTCAACTAAATTAGCAGAAGCTGTTTACACCCTTGGCCGCTCGCCAGATAGCAGCACTGTCCAGGGGCTGGTCTCCAGACAGGGTGGCTTGACCGAAGGGTTGCCTACCCTACACGGCGCTCATGGGCAAAACTACTAATCAATGATAGTTTTTTGCGTACGGGCCAGACCAGCATCTCCCTTGCAGCCGGTGTCTCGTAGATTTAGGGCGGTTTAAGGACACGCTGGTCCAGCAGACTGGCCATCAGTGGAAATCACATTCTTTTTAGTGGTTTTAGTGATTATTTTATTGTTTTTTTGTTTGTTTTTTCATCAATTTTTTAGTCAGTTTCATCAGGAGGATAGAATGCCATGATTTCTTGGGCATGTTTGCACAAGGCCGACCAAGATGTCAGCCCTAAATATGTGACTACATACTCAGCCCCTTTTAAATTGACTTCTCTTTCTATCATGATGAAGCGCTTATCTCTGTCATGCATGAAATGAATGACATGAGATAGCAATCTCACATAGCATCCTGAGTGCTCTCTGGTCTGTCCAGACAGATGGGCCGTTATTTGTGGACAAAGCCAGTGTCGTTCAGAGTAAAAATCACTCACTTCAAAAATGGTGAATACATCCTGAACTTGGCCTCTTTTCAGTATCAGTATGTTGTCATAGTCATGAGAGCAGGTGTTAAGGTTACGCTGTGCCACCAACTCCTTCCCTTTCGATGCGTTGAGAGTAAATGAAAGTGACTCCATCGCGCTTGGCTGCTTTCGTCTGAATGATGTTACAGTGCGGGAAGCTCGGCTTTTTATACAATTTTTTCCTCCCTTCGGTGTTCCGCGCGCAAGTCTGTACTTGATTACAGGGGAAGCCGTCCGCAAACGCGCCGCCGGGGAAAACCACGCCGTGACGAGACGGACCGGTAGAAAAAATAATTGCCGTAACCCGGGATCGAACCGGGGACCTTAAGATCTTCAGTCTCACGCTCTCCCGACTGAGCTACAACGGCAAGCTTACTAGGTGTGTGTTTGAATACACCTAACAATCTATTTTTAGGTTATGGGGCCTAACCAGCATCTCCCCTGCAGCCGGGAATGGGGGTGGGGAGGTGGGGAAATCAGCACCATTCAATGTCATCCGCTGGACCAGCGAATACTTCGAAAACGGTCATGCCTAGTTTGAGGAGAGATGTCCAGGCCGTCAGTCCAAGATAAGTCTGACTGAACTGTGGCACGCCATCCACCTCCTTGAAATTTGCATCCCTCTCAATGAGAATGAAGGGCTTATCCCGCAGCATGATGTAATGAATCAAGTGGGACTGCATGCGGTCATAGTGACCAAGGTGCTCCTGAGTTTTCCCTGTGAGGTGGTCTGTGATTTTAGGGACCAGCCACTCCTTCTCCAGGTAGAACTCCTCTATCTCATCAAGACTGTACTCGTCTTGGAGAAAGCCTCTTTTCCAGATCTGAACTGAGTCTGTTGCTTGAGCGGCGACCAGCTCCTTCTGGTTCCAATAGTTGAGCATGAATCTGAGCGACTCCATCGTGTTGAATGATGATGTGCACTCAGTGTGTGTCGCTTTTATACTCTCTCTGAACAAGTCAATCAGTGCAAGTCCAAACTTGTACTCTTCTTGTCTTCAGAAATGCCGAGAAACCCCAGAAAATTCTTGGTGTTTTCCAGAAACCCCAGAAAATTTCTACTGTTTTCCAGAAATGCCAGAAAAATTTCTTGTGTTTTCCAGAAGTTTTTTTTGCGTACCACAAAACTTTTTTGTGTACCAAAAACTTTTTTGTGTACTTACACGTGTATTTCTTATGGAGCAAAATTTTTTTTGCGTACCAAAAATTTTTTTGTGTACAAAATTACTTTTTCATGTTTACAAATGTTTTTTGAGCACAAATTTTTTTCTTGTTGTCATTTTTTTCTTGTGCACGCACGTTGTACTTTCGTGTCGTGTCCTAACACGCAATTCTTTTTGTTTCCAAACATGCGCTTGTACATTTTGTGTACCACTCTGTCGTTTTTTTCTGTGTCGGAACAAAATAACTTTTTGACAAAGGAATGCAGCGAAATACCATGTGCGCGGTGAATCAAGTACAGCAGACAGTACTCTCCACACACTTGTGAATCAATGGATTGTAAACTCGCATGATTGTAAGTCCACTTTTTACAGAGTCGGTCAAGAAATTTTTTGTGATTCGGGACGATGGGTGGCATGCCATAGGAGTCCCAGAATTCACCCTCGCCGTGCTTTCCGATGTAGAAAGCAACCCAATGCTGACCTGGTTTTGAAACAGGATCCGTGTTGGCAATCAGCAAGGCGGGGCGTTTGTGTAGCCGATGTGGTAGTGTGTCCGAGGCAAACACACCTTCGAACATAGGAGCCACATGTTTATCTCTTTTCATGAGCGAATCTAGGGAAAGTCCATCCATTTTTTTTTAGTTTAAGTGATTGTTTTATATTTTTGTATTTGGTTTTTTAAGTTTTATTCTTTTTTAACTCTTTTAAACGTTATAATCGACAACAACGTTTCGATGTTTGTCAATCTCAATCAGATTTTGGAATTCGGCATACACAATGCAATTTATAGGTTGGGCAAGAGGTGCTGCGAACTTGAGTTCCAGTCTAAGAGTACCTTGCTTCTGGAGATTCCAGTGGGGCTCGCTGGCCGAAAGGTCAGGAGACAAATCGAAACAGAAAAGTGTGTTCCCTCCGGGGTAATCAGAGTAGCTGATATTGTTTCCCTCGTCTTTCCAATGTATTCCCGTTCCACAGAAAAGGGTGTTGTAACTTTCCATGTACAGACCGTTCCCAAAGTCAGGGGTAAGGGGTTGGGAGGGGACGGGGTGGCCATCAACCATGAGACTGAGGTAATTGATATCAAAATGTTGGAAATTAAAACCATTCCGAGCGTAATCACCATTGAAGGCTCGGTTGTCTACGAAGCCAATAATGATTCTTTGTGGTAGTTGGTTCATAAAAAGATTGTCCAAATTTTTATCGCGCAGCCCTTGTGTTATCGTGACTGTTTTGATGTCAACTCGATTCACAGGGTATTTGGCAGGCGACTTTTCAAGAGCTTGGGCATGACCCAGCATGACGGAAGGGGAAATGGCAACTTTTCGGATGTAAAGAGTCGCGTCTAAAAGTTTGATGCGCTCAGTGCCAGCAGTAGACATGAGAGTAAAGGCATCTCGGTTCCGAATGAGCTTAATGCGCAATTCCACATTGTTCAGCAAGAAATGATCTTGATTAAAGAAATCAATATGCAGAGGACCCATGAGTTCAAATTGACGACTGTTTGAAGTGCGAGATCGCCGCCAGGCCAGTCCAAGGTTTTCTCGGCCATCGAGTGAATCGAAATGGCCAGGTGTGTCCTCGTACCACATGCGTTGTGTCATGTGGGACTTTTTAGCCGAGGCGTCATAATTCATGAGAGACTCTATGTAGGCTCTGTAAGCATAGGTCATGCTTGAATGACTAATGACTTTTTGATTTAGACTCACATCGACTTGGCTCCAAAGAGCGTGGAGGGCGTAATTTACTGGAGCAGCATCATTCTGATCGTTTGCAACGATATCTGTGCCATCTGCCTTTACAATTTTGGCTTTCACATACAAAAGAGTGTGGGCGGGGTCAATGTACTCATGGCCTACTCCCGGTATGGAAAATTCGACCGTGTTAGAGGAATCTAATGTGGTCAAGGGTTTGTAAGGAACCCAATGAGTCGATTCAAGTGCGGTCTGAGTGGGTGGAATGATCCACAGATCCAGCTCAGATCGGAGGCACTCTGAAGAAGCAGCATGCATGAATGCCATTTTTTTCTCTAGGAAAAGTAGTCTGCACTAGAGACGGTCTTTCTCTTACGAGTCTTCGGAACGTTATGAGCCTTTCGGGCTCGTTTGCGCCTTTTTATAGCACCAGACCCTGCCATTTGGTCAGCTTTCCTTTTGGCCTGGTTGGCCAGGTTGCCCGCGGCCTCCCCGACGCGTTTGTTCATGCTTCCCCGGAAATTCGCGCCCTCCGCGACATCAGCCAGTACCGCGCTACCCGCCCGGGCCGCCTCCTTCCCCACGGCCGACGCACCGCTCCGGAGAATGGGGAGAATAGTACGGAAAAGACCGCCGAGCCAGGAACCGATAAGGGAGGGTGGGGCACCTAGTGACAGGGGCACCTAGTGACACAGGGCTGCCCTGGCCACCCTATGGCACTTTCAGACACCTTGAGGTGGCTTATCTAAAGGTCTTGTGCTGTGGAATCATGTTCAAGTGAACGTGAGACTTTGAACAAAATATTTTAGCCCCTAGGATAAAAGCAAAAAAATAGTTAGGCAAAATCACAGATTTTACGACTTTTTTACAAAATGCTTTCTCGCCATTCTTCCAGTACACGGCACTGCCGATCATTCTGGCACTTTTAATCAATAATAAGGACCTCTAGTAAGTTGTTTTCGCTAAACCAGCTCAAACATATGATTTCATTTCTTTTATATCAAATTATGAACGGAAATGAGCCCCCGGGGGGCAGGTAGTGACAGACACACTCTATTTACCGTATTTCAACGATTTAAACGTTTCAAAACATCGATTTGGCAACCGCGAAGTAAATTGTCACCGATTGTCACACAACGAAACATAAATGAGACTAATTTGTACGACAATTTCGTAGAACATTGAATTTGATTGGCAATGTAGTAAAATGCAGTTTCTTGAGGAAAAATGGCTCCGTTCAGAATGATTTGATATTTAAAAAGCTTAAAGAGTCCAAAACAGAAAATTTCCAATTAGCTTGAGCGTCGCTCTATGCTGGTATGTGAGTTATATGACCTGTCACTAGGTGCCCCGGGCTGGGGCACCAAGTGACAAGTGCAGAGGTCTGCGGGAAGCTATGTAAATAATAGAAATAGGTGTTGTCGAAACGCCACAACATGTTTTTGCGATCAAGGAAGGATCAAAGCAATCTTCTGAGGAGAAAGCAGATTCATTTCTCGCACAGTATCGGAGTGAGTCCCAAAATCCAAAAAGTGTCACTAGGTGCCCCACCCTCCCTTACCGTACCCCTTCTGGAAGGAACTACCCGCGTAAAATTGCCCTAAACCGCCACCGGCCTGCGTGACGTAATGGTTCGTTATTTGGTTTTGAGGAGCCATTTTTTTCTAAGACACCTGTCTAAAGTGTACCAGTAAGGTCAACGTCCCGTGTTCAAATGGGAGATAACGCCCTGCGTGGTCCCTTATATCTATTTGGATCGTGTCAAACGACCGTGTATTTATGTCGAAATAAATCGGATGCTCGCAGTGAAAAATAGTCATGCTGCCGAACCGTGCATTTATATCTACTGGGACCGTGCGGAGTATGGGAGCCCTCGTGTGCCCAATGATCTGATCAGCCAGAATGTCCATGTAAATAAAGAGTTGTGATGGAATGCCCAAACTCAATTCAACGGGCTTGACGCCACTAATTTTTTCGTTTGCAGGGTAAGGGCCGTGGTGGTCCAAACCGAGCTGCAATGCGAGGCGAGGGGAAAAGTGGACCTTCATATCGGGCCTTTCGGGCTGAAAGGGCTGAAACTCGACTCGGCGATCGGCCGTTTCGCTCAGTGGCGGGTCACCCTCAATGTCATTGTTGAGGACCGACACCGCAATGTTTACTGCCTCCAGAAAATCGGACTTAGAAGGAAAGCAGCCGGGTTTGACAAAAACCGTGTCCACAGAGCCAGGCGCCAGTAACGTGATTTCGTTTTCCCCTTCAATCACTTGAGCGATCGTGTTTGGATAGTGAAGCTCAATGAGAGCAGCCTGCCGTTGGCCATGCAACTCCATTCGCTTTGAGAGCTCTATTTTAAAATGGGATGTTTTTGGCTGAGCGATAGCGAAGCCCTTGCCGTGTTTGGGCGCGCTGAAAAGTGACTGGTCGTGCGTCTGTCTGTTTGTACTCACCAACGATTCTCAGCAACTACAGTGGCTATAGTTTCAAGATTTCGTATTTAACGTCGCCTTAGTACCCCCCAACACGAGTTTGTTTCAAATCGTTGTTTAGTATCGTTTGAAATATTCAAAGCATATTTTTGAACCAGGTCATTAGCGTGGTTAGGTTGGCAGCGCCGCAGCGCTTACCAATTTCTCATACCTGCGGGTCCGCGGCTCTCAAATACGGGACTTAAGCAAATAAAACGAAATAAAGAGCAGAAGGGTTTGGAAATGAGATCGGCCTTAGTTTTTCAACATTCTTGAATGATTAAAACCCTTATGGAACACCAACACAGCGAAATATGGAGAATGGTTTCGAAAATGATTTACGTGTTTCGTTCCCCTCTCCCCCCTCCCCTGTCAGAGGGGAATCATCTCCAGGTCAGTGCACTTTGACAAAGCATTGTAAAAAAGATGTTTTTATTTTGACCTTTTGTATTGTGCGCATCTTCTTATTTCATACTAGTGTCATCCTCTTTTTAAAATTTTCAAACTAGAGGAAATCAGGGAAATGCAGAAATAACTTCTGTTGAAATTGGCAGGCATACTTAGTTTGGATTCGAGAAATTCATTCTATTGCAATGCTGCAGGCTGACAAGAGTGCAAAAGTACTAACATGAGTTTATTAATAGAATCAATATATGGTTGTGTATATTTAATCCTAATGGAGTTTGAATTGATATTGGTTTCAATGAGACGACTCAGGTTTTGAGCGGTAAATGAATTGGTGATTGGATTTAGTGAGACGATTCCTTTAACTTTACCGAAGTTAATATAACTGGTACTACTCAGTATTGTTTGCATGAGTAAGATAAATTATGTCGGTTCATTAAGCCTTGGGTAGCCTTGGCATTGGACTCTATGTGACGAATCACTGGATTTGACAATAATTGGTCCCCGTTAACTGGTGCAGATCAGCCTACCCTAAACTGACTCTCTTAATATTTACTGTGATAACATGTTCCAATCAATATTGTTTTATTCACTGGTTCACAATGAAAGAATGACAAAATGTTTCATAAGTATAACTTATAAAATTGTGAGTTCATTAGTTAAGAAAAAAGAGTTATCGAATAGTGACCCAAGCATACGAGTAGCCAATTAAGCGATTCAATGCTGGCAATTGAATTTTACTCGACTGAGGGATTCGCTTTGGTGTGGCATCAGGGAATTGGTGGCGACAGAGGGTGCTTCATGAAGACAAGTAGGAACAATATGCAGAAATTGAGTCTAAAGTATTGTATGTAGTTTGCAGTGTACTGGTCACAAAAACTACATTTATTTCAATGCCAATCCTACATTTTCATCTAGAGCTACGCAATTTGGGGCAAAACTTTCCAGGTTGAGGTTTATGTATTTCCCTGTAGTTTTCAGTGCGCTGACCTCAATATAGACATCTTAATTGTCCCCTAACCCAAAATTTAACCGATTTTTGGTTAAATTTTTTGAAATGAATTGTACAGTATATTAGACCGTCCCTTATTTTTTCGAATTGAACCGAGACAAAAGTTCGTGGTGCCAAATTGTTCCATTTGGTGAGAAAACACCTCTGCCAAAGTTTGGTGGTGCTACGATATCGCAAGGCCGAGCCTGAGGGGCCTAAGTGCAAATTTCAAAAATCGGCCGATTTCGGAATTTGAAAGTTGTCTTTCAAGTAAACACGTCATTTTGATGCCCATAGGGCGAAAATTTCAAGCGTTTTGCCGTATCTCGAACCGTTATGGCCGAAACGGCGCTCTGAACGCGCTCCGCCACCGCGCGGAAGGCCGATCTGGACCCAACTACGACGCTTTTGGGCTGCACCGAGCCGCCCCGGAGGGCAGTGGATCGCTGCGTCGCTGTCAGCACCTTCCCAAAACATGTGTTTGACTAATTGCATAGTAATTGGTAGGTTAGATTTCAATACAGACGTGGTTAAGACCAAATTTTACACCAAAACACGCGAAAAATGCTATTATGGCTAAATTTGACACTTTGAGGGCATATTTCAGCATTTTCCTATTGAGTAATCCCACTAACCAAATTGGAATTTTCAGAGATAGTTCAGATACATGTTTTGGGAAGGTGCTGACAGCGACGCAGCGATACACTGCCCTCCGGGGCGGCTCGGTGCAGCCCAAAAGCGTCGTAGTTGGGTCCAGATCGGCCTTCCGCGCGGTGGCGGAGCGCGTTCAGAGCGCCGTTTCGGCCATAACGGTTCGAGATACGGCAAAACGCTTGAAATTTTCGCCCTACGGGCATCAAAATGACGTGTTTACTTGGAAGACAACTTTGAAATTCCGAAATCGGCCGATTTTTGAAATTTCCACTTAGGCCCCTCAGGCTCGGCCATGCGATATCGTAGCACCACCAAACTTTGGCAGAGGTGTTTTCTCACCAAATGGAACAATTTGGCACCACGAACTTTTGTCTCGGTTCAATTTGAAAAAATAAGGGACGGTCTAACGCCACAGGCAGCTACCAGACTCCCACTGGTCGTCAGTTCGACGTGGCAGTGGCGCAGCCAACGATGTCCCAGTACATAGATGAAATTACAGAGGCCCTCAATGAGGACGTGGTACTATCCCAAATGATCAGGTTTCCTGAAAATATTGGGGAATTAAATATCTGCATTGATAGGTAATTAATTTTATTTCTAGTTATTGACAAAAGGATTAATTCTCACCCTGCCCTAACACAGCTGGCGGCCATGGGTTCTGTCAGGAGAACTTGATCGAATTTTAGGCTACACTCTAAAAAATAATGTAGGATTTTGTAACGATCTTGATACAAAATTCTGTAACACGTCAGTCGGTTACAAAAATTTGTATCCTTGATCCTAAATTCTGTATCACGTCAAGAATGTTACGAATTTACGAATCAGTGCTTCAAAATTCTAAAACTGATACAAAATTCTGTACTTTTCGTTTCAATATTCACAATCAGTGATATAGTTCCATGTAAAAATGCGATCTTTATGCAAATAACTGTAACTGATACAGAAAACCGTAACATATCGTTACAAGTTTACATATCGTCTGATGCAAAAATTAATAACGCAAATTCAAAGTCAAATTACGAGCTTAATTTTAACATCACAGTTGATCGGGCGAAAAGTCCTAACGTGGGGCATGGTACTTTAGAAGCTTCGGGCCAGGAACTGTCGCGCCGCAGGGCTCGTTTCCCACCACTACCTGGGCATGCAGCGTGCCCGCTCGGTGTCATCGACAGTCTGAGGCGTGCCTCCCCATACGGCGCTGTGGCGCAAGCGGTAGCATGACGAGCTGGCAATCCGGGGGACCGGGGTTCGGTTCCGGAGAACGCAGTTCGGTTTCCCCGGGTGTTCGGGAGTACATGAGCGACGGAGCGAATGTGTAGGAATGAACGATCGTTGAGGTTCAAATTTTGTTTATAAAACGACAAATTTTTCTGATTTTTGCATTGCAGAATTCTGTAACCGGGAAACAGTTTACCGTAACGCGTGATACAAAATTTTGTATCAGTGCTGATACAAAATTCTGTAACATTTGTAGTGGAAATTACTGCGTAACCATGTTACAGAATTTTGTATTGAAATTTTTTTGAGTGTAGTAATTATTTTCATCTTTGGTTTGCAGAAATCGTGCTCTAGGAGGGCAACTACGTGGTACACTTGGGTACACTGACGGTACCCTAGTAAAAATCATAAAGCCATCTATTCGCAACAACAGAGCTGGTTTTATTGGAAGGAAGAGCTTCGCGAGCCTAAATGCAATGATTGTAGGTAGCATTTCATGAGAAATGTAGTGAGCATAAAAATGGCCTGTACTAATCCTTTTTTTTTCCTTTTTTCTTTTTTCAGACATGTGACAGGAGAATGTATGTCATGAATGTAAATGCAAGGTTTCCTGGTGCAACTTTCGATTCGTTTGTGTTCCAGGGAAGTGCCTTGAGAACTAGAATGATGCAGCTTAATGAGCAACAACCCTGCCACTTACTAGGTATGAGACTTGAGACTTGAATAATACAACAACCGGTGACTTTAACACTTGTGCTTTGCTACAGGGGATGCGGGTTATACATTAGAGCCCTGGATGATGACACCATTTAACCGAGCAGATCGGCCTCTTCTTGATGACTCGCCGGAGGCCCGGTACAACCATGCACACGCTAGTGACAGAAACGTTGTAGAACGTTGCATTGGTGCTCTGAAAGGGAAATTCAGGTGAGTCCTGCCCCCAGCCCCTTCAAAATTCGAAGGCCTGTTGCAAAGCCCCTCCCCCTCCAAAAAGAAACAACAACGACAAACCAATGATGTAAAAGCTTTATTTGGCACATTTCTAATTTTTTGCCTCAAATCAGCATCTTTTTCTGTTCCAACACCCTTATCTTCTGTTTTTGACTATCACCAAATTTTCCTTGCAGGTGCCTTCATGATGAACGGGTCCTTCATTATAACTATGTTAAAAGTGGCAAATTTGTAAATGCTGCATGTGTCATTATGAATTTGGGTATCTTGGGTATTCCAAATTATATAAATGAGGAGAACTTACTCAATGACAATGTTAATGATGCACTACCAGAAGAAGACCTTTTTGATGACGAAGATGGTGGTGTAAGAGTTCATGCATTACTTGCCCGAGGAAGGGAAATTCGTAATCGGATTGTGCAAGAGTTGGAAGAAATGCGTAATTAAGTGTGTTTGTCTGTTTCTTTTGTTGTTTTTTTTTAAATCTGCAAAACAACAATTTGGCAGTATTAGTATTTCATATTGTTTTTTGTACACACTGGGCAGCCTTTTTTTAAAATTGAATGAAGATGTTTGTTGGCACTATGTAGCCTTTGGATACTTCTCCACACCTTTTAAATTAATACAGTTTCATACCACAATTCTGTATAGCTAGCATTTAAGTTGCTCTATAGATGGACCTTTTTTGCCCCTTGTCATATTGTAGGTTTCCATGCTTTTTGTGATTTATTTATGAAAAAATCCATATGCTCCTGCTATACATAGTTTTTGTACGAGTGGAAATTCAAAATTGAATGCATCATCATGAGGCATTTCTTTCACACATTTACTCTGAAACAGTATCATCAACCACTGTAAAATGAAAAGTGTGAAGTTTTTCTTGAAAGTGAGGTGACTAACAACAATTGGTTCACTTGTCATTTGTACCTGACATTGCTTTAAAAGAAATTAGATGAGTATTTAACTTTCAGAAAGCAAAACAAAGCCCATTTTAAATAAGCAGCTAAAATATTTTTTTAAAAAAAGGGGACTCCCTAAGTAGAACATAATGGCCAAGTTCCAGTTGTTTGTTGTGCTTTAATTGTGCTGTGATAATGTATGTGCAGCAGTTGAGCCCTAATGTACCCCCTATCATCAAGCCGCATTGCTTTGTGAGCAACATGTTTCATGAAACTGAATTGTTCCTCAAACCTAATTTTATTCATTTGTTTTCCCCTGGATGCCAACTTTCTTGCTTTTTAAGCTTGAAGTGGCAGTTGTGCTAACTACATCAGGAAAACAAAGAAACAATAAAGTCTAAATATCTCTTGTCAATTCTTGTTTTGGGGTATGCATTCTTTTTCCTTTTCCATCCTTATTCATGCTGTGACTGGAGTCTGTACTATGTGCAACAAGAAAAAAAAACAGTGAGAGGGAGAGCATGGAGGGAACAGACTTTTGAGGATTGACCAGTTAAAACCAATTTTAATCACATCACAGTCTCAATTACTATGCAGAAGAAAAGTGTCATACACATGAAATTAATATACATACATGCAGTTTTACAGTAAAATGAATAAGTGCTTTGTGTAGAAATGCTAAACTACATCAACTAGAAAAGTAACTCCACATTAAAATTCTTCTGAAGAATAAGTTAACAGATAGAATAACTGCCATTAAGATCACACATTATGGTCAGAAGTTTATCAACATATAGTAGGGGAGCACTTTCTGAACCTATTCTTAACCCAAGCTTATCAAATACATCAGTCTTAAATTGGACAAGTGCCAAATACGAATAGAAGTTTTCTATAAACTCTAAATCAAACACCAAACACAAATCTTCATCAACTAGGAAAAATAACAAACCTGGAAGCAAATTACTTATTTTCCTACATGATGGTAAACCACCAGCCCACATCTAAACATGTCCATGCAAGTTCTGTTTGAATAAACTGTTGAAACTTACCAAACGATTGCAAAAGCGTTTATGACTTATATTTCTAGAATCACAATTTAAATCCTAAAGTTAACAGTTTGAATAATTTAAAAAACAAAACCTCATTCATGCCTTCTGTTAAGGTTTGCTACACAGAGGGATTAAAAGAACCAATTAAAGAAGATTTTAGGAAAAGGCAACATTCCCAAAATTGAACATTTGACCAAGCTAACAAAAGTGAAACTTAAGATATGGTGGTCCCACATGGTTCAGGCTTTCAGAGTTTTTGATGTTGTTTGTTAGATTACTAAGAAATATGAAGCAACTAAATTTTGAGCTCAAAATAAGTTACTTATAAATGAGAGCAGTTGCAATAAACCAAGACAACACAACAAACAAAACACATGCAAGATAACAGATTTAAAAGAAGAAAAAAGAAAACACATGAGAACACAGACAAACTTTAAATGGGAGTCGACAGTAGTACAAAACTCATGACGAGCCTTAGCTCCTTGCCCCCATCAATAATAATACCGGACACTTAAAACCAATTTTAATCACATCACAGTCTCAATTACTATGCAGAAGAAAAGTGTCATACACATGAAATTAATATACATACATGCAGTTTTACAGTAAAATGAATAAGTGCTTTGTGTAGAAATGCTGATCTACATCAACTAGAAAAGTAACTCCACATTAAAATTCTTCTGAAGAATAAGTTAACAGATAGAATAACTGCCATTAAGATCACACATTATGGTCAGAAGTTTATCAACATATAGTAGGGGAGCACTTTCTGAACCTATTCTTAAGCCAAGCTTATCAATTACATCAGTCTTAAATTGGACTAGTGCCAAATACGAATAGAAGTTTTCTGTAAACTCTGTATCAAACACCTACTAATCTTTATCAACTAGGAAAAATAACAAACATGGAAGCAAATTACAAACTTCAAACACACAAACAAAGAGATAAAATATTTATGGCACAATTATAACACCGTCCCAAATAAGAATTTAAAGGCACCACAAACCAGAACTTAAGACATTAAAATCAACATGAATTTATACATTGCTCAGATTTTTTAATGGGTGTCTTAGCACAAGGGTTTTTACTCCATTAACTTCTTTAATCATGCAATTCATTAGTGGCAATTGTAGTGGCAATTGTATCTGAGCTCTTGGTCTAGTTGCTGCAATTGTTGCTAGTGTCTCCAGTCCAGTCACCTGTTATATGAGAGAAAATAACAGTTATCATTCAAACGTTATTGGTAACAAACCCCATTGCAGCTAGCCACTTTAACTGACCGGTGCTGCCTTGAATGAGGAAGCTGGGGCAGAAGCTGTGGCTGTGGCAGAAGCTTTGGAAGGCACAAACGCGCCAGCACTATTTACACGGGTTGAGTACACTAGTTCTGCCGCGGCTGCTCCCAACTTTGCCAAATTTGATGGGGCAGATGGGGCAAATGTTGATGGGGCAGTAGATAATATGTCTTCAGATGGTATTTGCCACCCTCTGGAATCAACTGCTACAGATTTTTTTAGATAATCAGGTACCTTCTCCCAGCCTGGAAAGTAAAAATGCGATCAGAAGGAGAAAATGTTCAATGAGATTGTCTAAGGTTGTTCAGACTAAATAGAACAAATTAAATCAATCCTACGTAGATAAAAAGAAACAAAGAAAGAAAGAAAGACAGTTTCATAAGAACAAAACAGTGAAGGTCATTACCATCAGAGGGAGCACTTTTTTTATGGCTCTGGCTTTTACTGGATTCATTAATTAGTTTACCATCAGAGGGCAAAATTTTTTCATGGCTCTGACTTTTACTGGATTCATTAGTTAGTTTACCATCAGAGGGAACACTTTTTTCATGGCTCTGGCTTTTACTGGATTCATTAGGAAATTGGTGTTTTGATTGGTCCCTGGATGTTCTTTCTGAAAACCCAATGAGAAAATACAACAAATTAAATCAATCCCAAGTAGAAAAAAAGAAATAGACATTCTAAATAGAAAATAAGAAAGAAAGAAATTAAAAAAATAAAAAGACAGTGAAAGTCACTACCTGCAGAGGGAGAACTTCTGTCGTGTCTTCGCCGATCACCAGAATCCCTACGTGACCGGTGTCCTGATCTCCTTCTCCCAGCATGACGGTGTCTCGATCTGCTACTGCTGCATGATCGGTCTCTACGCCTACTCTCTGCAAACACAATGTTAAAATGGAACAAATTAAATCAATCCCACATAGATAAAAAAAGTGAAAGAAATAAATTATAATACTAAAAAGTCAGTGACGGTCATTACCTGCAGATGAAGAATATCTATTGTACCTTCGCCGATCACTACAATCTTTACGTGACCGGTGTCCTGACCGGTGTCCTGACTTTGAGCCTGATCGGTCCCTAGACCTACTTTCTGAAAACACAATGTTAAAATTTTAAAAAAAATTTAAAGAAAGAAATTTAAAAAATAAAAAGTCAGAGAAGGTCATTACCTGCAGACGAAGAACGACTGTTGTACCGTCTGTTTGATCTGCTTCTGCTATAGGATCTGTTCCTAGACCTTCTCTCTGAAAACACAATTTTAAAATGGAATATATTAAGTCAATCACAAATAGATGGAAAGAAAGAAAGAAAGGAATTCAAACAATAAAAAGGCGGCAAAGGTCATTACCTGCAGAAGAAGAACGTCTGTTGTACCGCCTGTTTGATCTGCTTCTGCTAAAGGATCTGTTCCTAGACCTTCTCTCTGAAAACACAATTTTAAAATGGAATATATTAAGTCAATCACAAATAGATGGAAAGAAAGAAAGAAAGGAATTTAAACAATAAAAAGGCGGCAAAGGTCATTACCTGCAGAAGAACCTCTGTTGTACCTCCGCCTATCTCTAGATCCTCTGCGTGACCGGTGTCCCGATCTCCTTCTACTCGATTTGCCTCTGCTATGGGATCGGTCCCTGGACCTCCTCTCTAAAAACACAATGTTAAGAAGCAACATGTCAGACCAACCATAGAAAAATAAAAAGGAATAAATAGTTCATGCGAAGATAGTGATAAGACTGTGATAAGTGATAAGAAGGGAGTTACCTGCAGACTGATTTCTTCTCCTTCTTTCATATGGATTGATCTGCAAAATAGTCTGTTGTAAACTGAAATATTCTATATAACTGTGTACAACCATCAGGAGAATAGCTACTTACATCTAATGGGTCCTTCACCTCCTGCACCCCGATGACCCGCTTCCACCCACCCATGGCAGCCAGAAGCCGGTTGTCGTAGAGCGATAACTTGTCGACAGGAGGGCCACCCCCGGTCCCTCTCTTCAACAATTGATTCACAGCTATGCCTCTCTTCTTCACGGCTTGCTTCTGGTCGACCCAAAACTGCCGGACACAAGCATTGATAAAAATACATAGCCTGAAACTGCAGAATTTGAAGATCTTTGGATACAAAAGGTACTCACTTTTTGCCACTGAGAGGCTCCTTTCGTCGACCCTCCAGGCACATCATTAAGTGCCGTTCCCAAAATTCTCCACTGCTTTTTAAGGTTCTCTTTCCCATCAGGGCCAGTGAATTCACCTTGAGCAAAGCGTGGCCGTTTCTCCATGTAGGAGAGTAGGTATTCCTTTTGCTCTCCTGTCGCAGGAAGACTATTTGGAATGTAGTCTGGCAATTCGTCAGCCATCTGGAAGAAAAATATAGAAATAATTATGAGAGAACGTTGAAGGGTATGACAATTTTCTTAAGGTCACAGGACAGAGGCTGATCAGAACTAGAAAATAGTTAGACAGCACAGTGAGGTCAGAATACCAACAGACTACCTTCAACAGATAAAAACCTTTGAGCGAATCAGTGACAAAAGTCCATACCACCAATGACGAGAGAATACAGCGGACAGATAAGAATAATTGAGCATAGAGCTTGAGTCAGCCAGTCGCACCAAAACAAAACAAAACGAAAGGAAGGAAGGAGTAGTACTTGTCTGACAAGCGAAGCAATGTATTGCAGGGGCCCTTAACAGTCGATGACTTCTCTGAGGTCTGAGGCGGATTGTTTTGCATGGGTTATGTTTCCATGAGTACATTATCCAATGATTGGAAAACCCAATGATGAGAAATCAAAGCCAGGAAACTCGGCCCGATGTCACGACTAAAGCAACCACAATCTCCTTTCCGACGGTGAAGATGGTGCAGTAGATCCCTAACCTAACACTCGTCAGTCTGAAAACAATAACACCGGCTGCATACGCTTCACTTGAATATGTAAACAAGGGAAATAAAAACAAAAACGAAAAACAACATCAACAAGCGCCCGGATACGGAAAAACAACCAGAAAACCGTCCAATACGGCGCGAAGAGGCTAAGATTCGAAGAGTCACCGACGTGAATTCGAAAACAACGTGCATATCTCACGAATGCACCTAATGTGATTCATTGAATGATGATTGCATTACGAGATTTTCAATAAACTTACCTTGGGATTCAAGTGAATCGATTAATTCAACAATCAACAATTAATTCAAACAACTGTAACGGTTGAGAGAGTCGACCGTGCGCCGTGCGGTCCGTTGGTTTGCGCGGTAAGTTGTCCGTTGTTGACAAGCGCGCAACGACGGCGACGGCCGTTGTGCTTCATTCAAAACGCACGGAGTATTAGTTTATTGTGTCATATGAAATTGATAAAAAAAATTCCAACAAATTATTTGTAACAAATTTGTTGTTCTTGTGAGCAATGTGTAAAAATATATAACAATGGACTGTTCCCTTGCAAGGCGTCGTCACGGCACTAGATCAGGGCTGCCAAGCCAACGCTACCAACAGTCAAACATGCCTTATAATGATGTCAAAACACGCAAAGTACATAAATAAAATGTTCATTCCATCTGAAAACGCCCAGGGAGGAAAACGGCAACGTCTCCTTGCCTTTTGGAAAGCGCCGCTGTAAAAGCGAGTCGCAAGCGAGTCACCAGGGAGTCCCTCCCTCCCTGGGAGGGAGGGAGCGAGCTCTCTAATCTCCCTACAGCACGGGCCTGGCATGGTCGACATGAGCCCCGATGGCCTGAGCCCCGGCCGAGCCCGACTTGAGCGCCGACACGAGCACTGACTGAGCTACGATGGCCAGAGCCCCGAACCGAGCCTGGTTTGAGCTCCGACCTGAGTCCCATCTGAGCCCCACGCCGAAAAAACTTCCATTTTTGATTGTTCTTCAAAGATTTTGGTTCAAATTGAAAATTTTAACTTTTTAGGCGCGGGGCTCAAATGAGGATCAAATGAGGCCCAGGTCGGGGCTCAAAACAGGCTCAGGTCAGGGTTTTGGACATCGCAGCTCGAGTCGGGCTCGGCCGGGGCTCAGTTCGGGGCTCTGGCCATCGTAGCTCAGTCAGTGCTCGTGTCGGCGCTCAAGTCGGGCTCGGCCGGGGCTCAGGCCATCGGGGCTCATGTCGACCATGCCAGGCTGGCACGACGCTTGCAGCGGTCACCGCCGACTCTGACGCCTTGCCTCACTGTGCCTAGGCAACTCAAACTCAACACGCGCCAGCAGCACTCCGTCGCTCTGCCTCCGGGGTGCGACAGAGGCAGCGATGGATTCTTCGGAAACGCTTTCAGCCTGCCCGCCCTGCAGCTCCCGTCGCTGTCCCTCTTGCAGTCTTACGCAGTGCCGACGGGCTGGCAGGCCGGCTGGCTAGCAGGCCGGCTGGGCGGGCAGCGGGCGAAGCGTCGTGACCGGCGCGGCGACACGCTCCCATCCCCTACACAGCATGTCCCAGGCGGCCGATCAGCTGATTTTGGTCATTTTGAACATATTCGACACCGCCCCTCTCGCTGCCCCAGCGCCTCCCCGGGCCCGGGCAGGGGCTGGGTGACCTTTCTTATACCCAGTGACACCTTTTGGTCTGCGTAAGTTATGACCTCGGGCCCGTGGGCTCTCGTAATAGTCGATAAACGGTGAAAAAATGGTAAAAATTGAGTGATTTTCGACCAAAAAGATTCAGTTTTTCAGGTCTTTGGCACATTAGAGGGGTGACCCACGACCCCTCGTGGCTCAGAGTGTTGTCTTTTATGCTACTGAAGACAACTCAACGGTCACCTACCTTGGCCGACGACGTGGAAGCTGTCCGGGAGCCTTAACACAGTAAAAACATGAAAAACACCGCTTTTTTGCATAAAACGGCCGGTAGGGTCATCAAAGCTTTGTCTGATCGCAAAACCGAGGACAGATCTGAAATCAGCATTAAAAAACGCAACTTTTGAGTGCTATTCCGTTGTCGAAATCGAAAAGTCGCAAATGTCGACGGCCCCTACCCCTCGCGCGACTTAGGTTCGGTTGGGTTAGGCCCGACCAAGATGAGGACCTGCTTAGGTTCACTTAGGTTAGGACCGCCCAAGATACCGATCACCAAAAATTAGGTGCGATGGGTTACCCCCCTCCACTTTGACTACCCGTTACATATCCGCTTACCGGCAGGACCCCGTTACATATCCGCTTACATACTACTGACGCCACACTCAGAGACCAATTTTGCACACTTTATGTCGATGTTTCGTTACTTTTAGTGGGTGAAAAAGAAGCACAAAAAAAATGAGGAATGGACTCATCAAGACCGATTTTTAAAACAAACTTTAACCGTTGAGCCTCAGATAAAGTCTAACAGAGGAATAACGCTTGCGTCGCCAATTGAGTATTTGCTTTCCACTTGGTATCAACACCAATGTGTGTAACTCAAAAACTAAACAAACCAAACGAAAACCAACGCAACAGAAGGGAAGAAGACAGCAAATAAAAACACGAACTGGCACTACTTGTTGATCAGGCTT